TGATACTCTACATGGAAGACCCTAAAAGTCTACCAAAAGACTTCTAGATTTAATAACCAAATTCAGTAGCATTGCTGGATACAAAGTCAACACTCAAAAATCAGTAGCCTTCCTGTGGACCAATAACAAACTCACTGAGAGAGAAATTAGGGAAACAACAGCTCTCATAATAGCATTGAAAAAGATGAAATACTTAGGAATCAATCAACAAAAGAAGTAAAAGATCTTTATGTTGAAAATTAAAGTACTGTGAAAAAGGAGATCAAAGAAAATATCAGAAAGACATCCCTTCCTCATGGGTTGGATGAAACCAAAGTAGTGAAAATGGCCACACTTCCAAAGTTGCTGTACAGATTTAATGCAATCCCAATCAAACCACCATTAGCATACCTCACAGAACTAGTGAAAACAATCCTAAAATTCATTTGGAGCCAGAAGAGACCTAGAATAGCAAAAACAGTTCTGGGCAACAAAGTCAAGGCAGGGGGTATCATAATCTCTGTCTTGAAATTATATCACAGAGCTACTGTGATAAAAACAGCATGGTACTAGCCCAAAAGCCTTGTCTTTAAAAACAAAATACCCCACATTGAGAAAAGTGCATGAAAAGTTCAGTCTCTCATTCTTATAAATATATGATTTTTAAATTATTGAAAAACTTAAAAAATAAAAGTGTTTGATAATATTAGGTGCATTGCTATATTAAAAATTAAGATTGGCAATTTAATGGTAACAATGCAGAGGCACACAAATGCAGAGATAATACACAAAGAGGAAATGTACCAAAATACTAACCTTAGTTACTTTACCATCAGAACTTTATACATCAATGATCCCCTAAATGCTTAAAGACTAAACCTATATCCTCAGCATTATGAAAGTATGGTTTAAAGGGTCTCACGAAGTGGAGAAATACTTTATATATTTGCTTCACTTACAAATGTATGTGAATTTTACTTTGTATTCAAAACATGTCATTTTTATATTAAAATAAGTTCACTTTAACAGTAGTTATTTTAAAAATTATTGATCAGACAAAAACAGAACAAAAAGAAAACTAGCTTTGTCTTTATTGCTCATGAAAGGGATATCATTATATCAAATTTAGAATAATTGAAAGGTATTAAAAGGGAATAACTCAGCTGGGCTCAGTGATGAATTCCTGCAAGCTAGGAAGATCATAAGTTGGAGGTCAGCCTGACTAACTCAGTAAGATCTTGTCTAAAAATAAAACAATTTCCTAAAAGCTTGAGGATATAGCTCAGCACTCCTTGAATTCAGCCCTCTCTACCAAAACAAACACCAAAAATAATAAAATCCTTAACTCTAACCCCACATATTGAACTGAGTATAGAGCAAAATATTTTTGCTGTGTTTTTTAAAAAACTTCAGCACACAAACCCCATAAACATTTGATACGCATTTGAGAAAATGTAACTTTATATATTTCCAGTAAAATTTGCCATCAAAAAATTTACTCTGTTCATTTTATAGTTTCTCGTGTCCTTCATACTGACTCATGTTCCTGGTAGTGCAAATACTACCATTTGAGGGTCAAAATCTAACTTTACCTAGAATCTTAGGGTGCACAATGTCCCACACTGCACCACTCACTGCACTTCCTCTCATCTTGGGTGCCCAGCTCAAAGATCATCTCCTCCCTCGACTCTTCCTTTCTCCCTACCAGTGGGAGGTGTTCCTCCTCCCAGGCCTTCAGTGCTGACGTAGAAGTAGGACTCCCTGTGAGTGTGGGATTTGGATGAGCAGGACCTTAACTGGCGGTTTAAACAAAATTCCTGAAGAAGTGGAGAAGAACTATTTGCACTTTTACTTCTACTATTTAAACCCCAAACGTCCAGTTCTACATACAAATAATGGGTGAGTGTTTCAGCCCTTTTGGGAAAAGGTTGATGGATTCAATGGATCTGAATCTACCTCCCTCAACCATGTGATGTAACATTGTGATGAAGAAACAGACGTCAGTGTCAGACTTGAATATAAAGACCGATTCTAGTATTTCCTAAGTATCTCGTCCAAGAATAACAGCCTGATGTACTGACTCTTCTAAATCTCAAAATCAAGAAATATTAAATATTTTCTCATGAAAGATAATTAAATTGTTTTAGAAACAAATTTTTAAAAATCATGTTGCATGATATGCATGAAGGGAATTTTAAATAGTATAGCAAACAAACTATGGCATGAGCAAATGGAAAGGTGTATTTTTCCCTTGAATTGTTAGACTAGTGCTATAAATTGTTAATGCTCTCTAAATTATTATACACATTCAATATGATTTCGTTAAAATGTGCCAACAGGCTTGCTATTTGAACCAAATAAATTGATATTAAAGTTTACATTAAAAATTAAAATAGCTAAGAACATTTAAAAAGAAGTAAAAATTTTAAAGGTTAATGCTATCAAATGTATAGAAATATGGTAAAGCTTCGGAAATTAAAATATTATGCTTGTAACACATAAATAAAAACAGATCAATAGAAGCAAATAGAGAGTGTAAAAATCGAAGCAAATACAGAGATAAATGTAGCAAATGATAGAGGAAATGCATATTAGTTCAAAGAAGAGTGAATTAATCAATAATTTTATTAAGAAAACTAGAAGCTGAGCCGGTCCCAGCACCCAGAAGGAAGCTGGGACAGAGGCGTCAGGGCCCTGAGCAGCGGACCAAGGCAGTGTGTGCAGAGTGCGGCCTCAGAACACTCGCCTGAGTCGGTGCTCGCTTTCTGTGCCGGGTATTGGGAGTGTGGGCTCGCTGTCTCCCCCAAGGCTGCGTGAGCTGCTTCTGGGGTTGCTGGGCAGCCTGTGCCCAGCAAGCTCCCCAGGTGTTTGCACCAGGCTGTGCAAAGAGCAAAGGGTGCCGACATTTCGCATCGCTGTCGTCCCAAGCTTGGCCACAGAGATCCCAGCAGACGCGCTTGGCTTCCGAGGTTGCCGCTTGGTTCCCGGGCTCACCTCACTTGCCGCACCCCGACTGGCAGCTGGAGGGCCGCGTGGCCCTGAAGAGTTTCGCTTCACTTCCCTCTGTTTTGGTTTTGCCGTCAGGGCCTCATTTCCTCTTATTGCTTATAATTCGCTGTGTTATTTCATCAGTGCATAGTGGTTACATTCATGGTGAGGTCGGTACATTTAAAGCGTGGAATGCAAATCAGGCCCCACCTGGGGCTTTGTGGGGAAATCTGTAAACCGTGGATTGCTCTCAAAGTCACTTCTATGAAGCACACAGTCCCTGTCCCCTGACGTTGCCAGGTCAAGGACCAGCTCTGTCTGGATGATCCTTTCTTTGTGGCCGGTGCAGTGGGCAGTGGAGCACAGTGTGAGGGCCCAGCAGCATCTGGCCAGGATAGGGTGCATGTGTGCGGTCAGGGAGGGATTCCAGGACAGTCTGGTGCAGTCAGGAGCTGCAGCTGTGCATGGACACCGGAAAGATGGTTCCTGCAGCTTTGCAGGCGCAGCTCCGGCATGGGGCTGTGTGCAGCTTGCAGCCTGGTGCAGGATTTGGGGCCCCAGGAGTGAGGTCACCCAGGGACAGACTCACCCTGCTCTCTGCCCAGCTCAGCCTGCAGAGAGGAGGAGAGCACTTGGGGATTGCACACACCAGGGCAGTGTGGGAGGGAGGTCAGGTCTCAGCCTGTGGTCACCCCCCCAGAATGACATCACTCACCTGGCACGAGGCAGCGACTCACTGGCCTCTCAGGGAGCAGCACCCCCTCTGGTGGAGCCCATAGCCCTAGGCAGACATGCTGAGCTGACCCAAGGGTTAATGGTGGACACCCAGCCATCGGGATCCATTCAATTTTCAGAGCCGCTCAGGCTCAGTGAAGCCAGGTGAGGTGGTGCAGCTCTGCTACCCAGCACTCTGGGAGGCCCAGGCTGGGTGACAGTGACTTAATGAGAAGACTCTGACAATCACAATCACACATTAAATGGGCTGCTGATGTGGCTCAGTGAGAAGGTCCTGAATTTAATCCCCAGTACCGAAAATAAGTTTTACTGATTTGTAAAGACCTCAGTCCATGGGCAGGGCTGGGCCATACAGCCCCAGGAACCTCCAGCCTCTGCTGTCCAGGATGCTCTGTGGTTTCATATTTTAAAAGTAGCATTTAATAGAGATGGAGAGAATGTTTGTCCATCTCCAAGTAGGGAGGCTGGGGCTGTGCTATCCTGTCCCTCTGCCCTCTGAACGGAGACAGACAGCAGCCAGAGCAGACTGTCCCCAGGTGAGCCCAAAGACCTGCAGAGCTGATGTCCGGGAGGTCACCTGGAGCTCGGCCAGGATGGCGTGCTCTGCCCTGCAGACTCGGCAGAAGGAGCCCATCGCTGGCCCCGCTCCTGTGCCTATGACCGGAGTCTCCGCTGCCAGGCTTCCACCCTAAATGCAGCAATGATGACACAGACACCAGGGACCCTGGAACCCGGAGGACAGAGGCTGCTGAGCCAACCGTGTCACTGGGGCCCTGAATGTGTGGAGTTGAGCTTGACAGGCCAGGTCCCCACGCACGTAATGAGATGGCAGGAGAGCTGAGGCCTGGCGCACCCCCCCACCCCCAGCAGGGAAGACACAGCCTGAACTCCGAGATGCAGACAGGGAGGGGGCACCTAGGGGAGGCCACGGCCCAGTGGGTTTCCTGCGACCGTGCCCTTCGCCTGTCCTTCATTCAGATTGCACACATTATCTTACTGTGATAAATACATCCTGTCTGGCAACACAACCTGGATTACCTACCGAAGAAGCCAATGAAAAATGGCCGGGATCTTTCTAGGGTTTCCCCTTCTGCATAGTGCAAGATTCATCAGCCCCTCCTACGACTGTGTGGCCAAAGGCAAGTCCGACTGCGCTGATGTGAACCCTGCAGGCCAGGTGCCCGTGGGGACACGAGAGGAGCAGTGGCCAGGGGTGTGGGCAGGAGCCATCAAGCACAGTGCTCTGCGGATGGGCGCACACAGGGAGAAGGCACTTCAGGGCACCGCGCTGACCCTTTTAAACATCAAAATTTTAAGTTTTATTAAAAGCTACTTCTATTATTTATATAAATCCAATAAATAAGGGCAAGTGTAAATCCCAAAACGTGAGCCAGCGTAAGTGAGGGGAACAGTGGGAGGGGGCCAGGAGCTGGCGCCAGGTGGAGCTCAGGAGGTGACACTGACTGCCGTGCAGCCACCAGGTGCCCCAGCACTGCAGCAGGTGAAGGGGCTGCCACAGACTCTGGCTGTGGTCCCAGCGCTGGGCAGGAAGCTGCAGGTGGAGCTGGCTCGGGCTCCACATATGGGACTTCAGCTTGGGCTGCAGCTGGTCCTGCAGTTCCAAGAGAAGAAAAAGTCACCAACTGACCATGTTCCCTCCCAGGGCAAAACCTCCCCACTGCCCATCAGACAGCTCTGCGCACAAAGCCTCCCCAGGAAGTCCTCCCAGACCGTGACGGCTGAGGTCTCAGTGATCCCAGGTCACCCCAGCACCCGGAAGCTGTCTCTGTGTCTAAAGGCCCAGCCCTCCCCTCATGCCCACAGGCCCACACCCCGTCCTCCTCGCCTGTGGGCTGTGCCTCAGTGGGCTCAGCTTGCTCCAGCTGGGGCAGGAGTTCAGCTGGTGGATCCTCCTGGGAGTGCAGCTGCACCAAGAAGTGGAGGACAAAAAAGGAGGACCGGAAAGACAGGTAGGAGGCAGAGTGAGAGGCCTGGCCTTTCCTCCCGTGCTGCCTCCCCAGGGAACACACGGAGATGGCCAAGTAGGCCTCCTGGCCTGGCTGCGCATGCTCCAGCCCCACCCTCTCCATGCCCAGTGGGGCAGTGCTGGCCCAGGCAGCCCAAGAGCCTAACAGGAGGCTCCGTGCTCTGTGGTGCAACTGCCTCTGCCTTGTTCAGGGCAGCCCAACACACCATCTGCCCACCCGTCCCCACTGTCAGCTGCATGAGGACAGAGTCTGGTGTCTGCGTGTTACACTCAAGGGCACAGGGCCACTGCTCTGTAACGATCTGAGA